TACATTTGCTAAACATTCCTCTTGCTCCAGCTTCAATTTCTTGATAGAACCAGACCAGAATACTCTACTATCACATTCTTCACCAAACTACAACCTGCCCAACTAACTACAGCACCCGCCTCCCGCGCTCTCTGATTGGTCGGATGGAATTCAACCGATTGTAATCCCAAACACGGACCAGACCCAGACGTTACATGCAGGACATGATGATGGAGTGGAGAGTACGGATGGATAAGACCAGACTGGGCTTGATCCAAGTAGCTGCTGTTTCCTCGGTTGAATTCCCTCCGACCATTCAGCGAACGGGGGAGGCGGGTGTTGTAGGTCGGTGTCACATTTGGTGGTTTTAGTTTGGCAATGGCAGTAAAGTAATGTGGCTCCAAATATCAAGAAATCACGGCAAACATAGATCCAATGGTTTCAATCTGCAACAGGAGTTAGCCCCTCCCACCTGTTAACGGAGCTCGATGGAGCAAATCCAGAACTAAGTACGAAATAAAATTAGTACAATGGTATGGTAGGACCAGACTACTTTTAAGTATGTCCAACAAACACATATTTTAGCTGTATTTGTTTCCAATAACTACTGAAACATTAAAAAGAGAATGTGCAGATTGTGTCTTTACTCAGTCTATGGTCGGTCTGTGCCATGTAGAAAGAAGAATAAGAGCACGTTAGCTTCAAACAATCAATACACACAAGGAGGGCGCCATAACTCCTTGTTTTACAGCTCCACAGCGCGGTTTGGAGAAGGCCGTTTATCGCTGCATGTGATGTTATAATGATAGTACTTTATTTGTATCGCACTGCAGTCCGCATAATGAACATGTAAAACAGCCACGATCATACAAAGTCACAATAATTACACTGAATAGTATGATTCATTCCATTTATTATGGGATCAAAAAAAACAGCAGTAGAGCGTTCCCTTTGAGCCTGAAGGTCATGGGTTTGAGCCCAACACGGAACCTTCTCCACCGACATTCCACTGATGTCTGCTGTCGATGTGTCCTTGGCAAAACACTTAACCACACTTTGCCTGAAGCCCCCGCTGAAAGATCAAGGCTTTGTCGTCACTGATAGAGCAGCCGTCCTCCTGATGACTCACCTCGTGTGTGTGTGTGTGTGTGTGTGTGTGTGTGTGTGCACTTGTTTTCAACTCCTGGTGGGTTCCATAACCTGAGATTCCACTCACGTCATGGGGACTGGTTTTACGTGGTGGGGCCCGAACACCGGACCCCACTGGTCCAAGCTTAATAATCAATGGGTAATGCTTTTCTAACGGTCCTTATGCAGTCTCTGTAAAAATATGGAAAGGACCCCTGGAGGTTTACTTTCCTGAAAAAAGTGTGTTATGTGTCGGAACCCTGGTGGTGGGTTGCGGGATATCAAGGAGGGGCACACTGGGGCAATTTCAGTCCAGCAGGCTGGAGCCAATCATGGAGCAGCACAACAGAGGAAGTCAGGTGTCAGGCTAGAAAAAGGTGCAAGTGTGTGGTTCATTAGGCTGCAAGAAATCATGGAGGAGCACACTGAAGCGCACGCTTACAAACCACTGGTAAGTGCTGACTACAAGTCATGACTTCAAATTGTTATATAGAATGATTACAAATTATTTGTTGTTTGTGCAGCTTAGTCAAGAGTCCCTAATTGATGAAGTCGACTCAGATTCTGACGATTTAACTGTCAAGAAGAAACCTGTAAAAAAGTATGGAAAAAGAAAAATCAAAAACACTTTTCTTCAAGACTCGGAAAGTGACGAACCAAAGGCAAATAAGATTGTTATCATGCAGCTGCAAAAGAAGAAAAATGGGGGGCGAGTTTACAGCAAGAGACACTTCTGCCTCTACTGTTCAATGTCCTGCCACAAAATGTCCCGTCATTTGACTAGAAAACATGGAAATGAAAGTGACGTAGCCAGAGCATTGGCTCTACCTGTGAAATCTAAAGCACGTAAACTTCAGTTTGATTTGATCAGGAATAGTGGAAACCGTGAGCACAATTTTGAGGTTTTAAAGGCCGGCATTGGAACTTTAGTCCCAGCTAAACAGCCAAATTCCCCAGTTAAATCCAGTGAGTTTTTGCACTGTATAGACTGTGGGGCATTGCTTAAGCGAAAGTCGCTGTGGAGGCATGTGGCCAGGTGCCGGCTTTCACAGAAAGATGCCCAGGCTAAACCAGGTAGAAGTAGGGTCCAGTCCCTCTGCTCCCTAGCCCAGCCTGTACCGGAGGGCATCAGCAAAAAGCTGTGGTCTTTAATTTCGGCAATGCATCAGGATGAGGTCACGGGTGTTGTCAAAGCAGAAAAGGGGATTCTGAGACTCGGAGAGCACCTGTACTTAAAACACGGGCATGATAAGACTAAGCATGATTACATTAGGCAGAAAATGAGAGAAGTCGGTAGGTTAATTAACGAAGCAAAAACCGCAGGGAAACTGAAAACATTAAGGATTTCTTTATTCCTTCCAACTTTAACCATGTGATTGATGCAGTCAGGTCTGTGGCTGGATATGATGAGGAAACAAATCAATACAAGACTCCATCCTTGGCCCTCAAACTCGGCCATAGCCTCAGAAAGCTAGCAGATATTCTTGAATGTGACTCAAAAATGGAGCATTGTGTTGATGAACTATTTATTAAAAACCTCCAACGAAGCCGGCTGCTTTTTGAGAAGAGGTGGGACGTCTGTGTTTCTTCTGCTGCCCTACAGACCCTCCGGCAAGCCAAGTGGAACACTCCGGACCTGCTCCCTCTGACTGAGGACGTTAGAGCCATGCATGCACATATTGAGGTATGTCGACCTGAATATGTGCAAACCCTAATAAGTGAGCCAACGTCTAAGCATTGGTCTAAACTGGCAGTTTTGACTCTTTGTGAGGTCATCATTTTCAATCGAAGAAGGGAAGGTGAGGTTTCAAAGATGCCACTGACAGCCTTTACCTTAAGAAGTAAGACTGGGATCCATTCTGACATTGCTCTGGGACTGTCCCAACTTGAGAAAAAGCTGTGTCAGCATTTTCAACGCATTGAAATTAAAGGGAAAAGAAGTCGGAAAGTGCCGGTTCTTTTGACTCCTGAAATGATTGCTTGGATGGAGGTGCTGGTGGAGAACAGAAGGGCCTGTTCCATCTCTGACCATAACCCATACTTCTTTTCCCGCCCGGGCGCAGACACCCACATCAGGGGATCAGACTCCCTACGCCAGGTAGCCAAAGAATGTGGTGCGGTGCATCCAGAGATGCTATCCTCAACCAAACTTAGAAAGCACATAGCTACTATGTCTACAGTTCTCAATATGAAAGAGAATGAGATGGACATACTTGCCAACTTCCTCGGCCATGACATTCGCATCCACAGGCAATATTACAGACTACCAGAGGGGACACTGGAGCTGGCCAAAATCAGCAAAGTGTTGATGGCCATGGAGCAGGGAAGAGTGACGGAATTCGAAGGAAAGAGCCTCGACCAGATACAAATTGAGCCTGAAGGTAATTCTTGATATTATTAAAATATGTATGATTTTTTTCCCCTAAAGGCCACTTGTATTTTTATTTTCTGTGCGACAGGGAGAGCAGTAGAGATCCTCTCACAAACGGACGGGCTAAAAGAAACTTCAAGCGGAGAACCTTCAACCATTCATCCAGATGCACCCCATGGTAGTGGCAGTGCCCCTTCTGGTAAGTGTACCAGGTGGGGGATTACAGCCAGGCTGCTTGGTCCTAACCCTGGGAGTGTATATTGCTAATATATTTTTATTTCTCTCCCTAGAACGTGTAAGAAAGCCATGGTCTGCATCTGAGGTGAAGGCTGTGGAGAAGACCATGACACCTTTCATACAGACTGGAAAGGTCCCTGGGAAGTCTCACTGCCTGGCCTGGCCTGGCCTGGCCTGGCCTGCATTAATGCCTCACCAGATGACCTTAGACATCGGACATGGAGTGGCATTAAATTCTATGTCAAAAATAGAATCACTGCAATTCGAAAACAAAATCTAAAATAAAAGTCCTTTAAAATAGTTCTTTGGTTTCTATTGACTGTTTTGTATTACTTAAAGTAGTCCCAGTAAAAAAAGATTATGTCTATGGGTCCCATTCTGAACGGCCCTGTCAAAGGGACCCACCAGGTAACAAAAACGTGTGTGTGTGTGTGTGTGTGTGTGTGTGTGTGTGTGTGTGTGTGTGTCCAATAATTTGTTTGAAGAGTTTCGCTACAGCACAATTCATGAGTGCTGAACAAAACTTTGAGCTGTCTTCTGAAACGTGCAGATATGGAAAGTCCTCCAAAGACGATATCAACAGAATTTCTCGAGTCAACTTTCCTCAGGCAAAACTTGAGTATTTTGTGCCCGGGTTAAGTTGTGGATGGGAACGAGAGTCTGCAGGAGGTGGAGGAGCAGAATGAATTGTATTTGTTCTGAAAGAGGATTGTAACACCACCTGGACGAGCACATTATGAAAGACAGAGACCAACAGGGTCCTGCCTGAGGGTCTGCGCATCAACCCTGCTGTTGCATGCTGGGTAATTAGCCGACAATTTAGCACAAGTTGCATGATATAATGCTGTAGTATGAGCAGTACATGCAGCCAATGCACAGGGGGCAAAAAAGAGGGAAACAAAGAGAGTGTCCTGCAATGTACAGCAATGTTTGAGTTGATTAAACACAGAATCACGCAAATGCAAAGAAGCCAAACTAGAGTGATGCGTTCAGGACAGACAATGTGGTTATTTTAAGATGATTCCATTTCTGTGCATGACCTTTGGAAGAGATGGAACACCGCAGCACCGTGTTATTACTGTACTTCCATTGTGTTAGCATTTGTTGTCATTTCATTTGCCACTTTTGTCTGCTGGCATTTCAGCTGTGTCAGTGTCCTTTGACTGTGTGTGTGTGTGTGTGTGGACCCTTTCTCTGCTGCTGTGACCGCGGCCGTGACCTCCGTGTGAGGCAGCGGTCTCCCAGAGGTGCTGACCCTGGAGTGGAACCTAGAGCCGCTGGGGAAATGCCACTCTGGGAACGTGCTCGCTGCTCACCGAGTGGGACCGGAGCGCTGCCAGGTACATATGCTGTCAACCCAAAGAATGGTTCCAAGTTTGGGGTTATGCCCCGTCAAAACATGTTTGTATTCATTAAAATGCTGCAGTGGTCGACAAAGTGACAAATGTCTTTTTTTCTTGTTTCTTTTGTATTGTTATTTTTATTGTGGAATACTTAGCAAGCTACTGTGACAACGCCATTTCCCCTGTGGCTCAATAAAGTCTGTCTAAGTCTAAGTCTTTTTTGTATTTAAGGTAGGTCAGACACAAACAAAAAAAATACAGGTTAAACCACAGGTACCAAATGTCTCACAAGAGCACGATTGATAATGTTGGAGGAACATGTGTGCAATAGGGTTTGTGTGTAAATAGGTCATGGACAATATTTGGTTGATTGCAATGCAGGGATGTGTGCAATAACGGGATGTGTGCAATAACGGGATGTGTGCAATAACGGGATGTGTGCAATAACGGGATGTGTGCAATAACGGGATGTGTGCAATGATTGTGGATCTTGGTGGACTACATGTATGAATGTGTGGACTGTGGCCTGTGCGGGAATGCACCTCTTATTGTTTCATCATCGGCACGAGAACATTTTAGTCCTTATGAGGTGTCCTACAGATCTGCAAAAAATGATACAATATGAGGTCATAAATGCTTGAATCAAGTGTTTTTTGTATGTTTTTATCGTAATTTGAGTCCATTCTGACTGTTAAAACAAGATCCACCAATGGGACATCTCATTCCAAGATAAGGCAGTTTGGCAGTCAGAATGCACTCTAATTAAGATACATTTTAGCCTAATTTGAGCAATTTTTTACTAGTTTTTTCTTCACTTTTTGCAGTGCATGACTATACCAAAGGGTGAAATAAACCCAAAACGCCACCAAATAAACAAGCGCAGCAAAAGGATGCTGCTCATTTCTCTCCTATCGAAAAAGCACATCCTATAGACGTCATTAGAAGTGACACAGAATGCACTTGTTTGAGAATGTTTCAGAGCGTGGCCGTGCACGAATCTCACGAGATGAAAATAGCCATTATTACTTCCAGGTTGATAGTGAAGAAACATATGCACCGACTCTCGCTGCCTAATTATGAGCTCGTGGTATAATTAGGCGCATAGATGAGCAAACATAATTAGTAGGTATTATGCCGGTCTAATGGGGGAGTGAACAGGTGAAAATGCAGCTCTCACTCTTTTGTTTATGGGCTAAGGGTAAGCCGTAATGATGCAGGAGAATAAAAGTAGATTAGTTATGGCCCAAATATCTCCTCATGCTGAATTGATGAAATATATCATAATATGTAACTGCTCCAGCCACTGCAGATTTATTTTATGACCCACTTGGAAGGGCATCGCATTAGGCTTGAGTTGTGGCACTCTGAGGTGGAGGAAGTCGCCAAAACTAAAATAAAATGGCAGCGACATGGCAGTATAAGCATTTCTGTTTTAGTTTTATTTTGTTGTAAAGTGTCGGTTAAATGTCACTTTCTCAGAGGAGTTGGAGTAATATAAGAGAACCTTTAATTGTGTCACAGTGGGGAAATTTCAGTGTTGCAGCGCACAGACAGGACAATAGTAAGAGCACACAGGGAACACACAATAGACCAATACAAGACATTTATAAATAGCTTTAACATTGCTTTTAAAGTTCATGTTAAAATGACAATACAGTCAAGTTATTTGGATCCTGTAACACATGTTTTTGAATGTGAACAATATTTCATTGATTACCATGAAAACAGTTCCATTCCGCTCCATTCTGTTCCGTTCAGACACTGCAGGCGGCCGGGGGCCACAGCCCTGGGCCCCTCCAGACCGCCCGCCCTCTCCGGCCACTCTCTCTCTGGCCTCCTTCTGCGCGTTTCTGCCCAACGCAGTTTTTAAAAGGGTCCCAGTCCATGGCTCACAGGTGCCCTGATTGCTGACTTGTGCTGCCTTCAAATGTCCTTCAGATCACTCGGCAACAAGCAATGATTTAAAATAAACAATAATAAAAACACAAAAACATGCAATAAATATAAAAGCAAGTTTAAAACCATGCAAAGTATAACACATTAAAACTTGTGCCTGACATATTAAAGTAACATTTTTAGAAACATACTGTCTTCATCTTTACTGAGTGAGGAATGTTCTCTTGATAGAAAACACATGTGGAGCCAGTGATAGAACCAAACAATGTTAAGAGAAAATATATGTAATTTTGTTGTTGTTGTTTTCAGGCTTATAAGGTTCTTTTAGTGAGAAAAAAAAGTGCAGAAGTCTAGTACTGCTTAATTACGTCATGTTTGGGGTCGACACTGATCAGCTGTTTTTGTCAGATTCCATCAGTCGGACGGATGCCACAGATTGCGTCCCCTCCAAGTGTGAGCCAAGACGAAAGCCCCCTCGTCTCTGTCGACGGTCTGTGTGGGGCCTACTTCCTGAACACCGGAAAACCACGTATCCATCTTTTTAATTTATATTCTTCCGTTCTTATTTTTGCATTGTCCCAGTCCATGATGTTTCTCTTTTGCAATGGTCCTAAGTTACTGGTTTGAGGTTTTCCTGTGTTGCTTTTTCCTCGGTTGCTAGTCTCACTGTCGTTTCTTTTTCACATTCCTTTTGAAGTTAATTCCTTCTAGTGCTGAAAGCTTTCTCCGATGTATGTTTTATTGCAGGTTCTACACGGTAAATTACATTGCACTTCTTCCCTGGTTGTATCCTGTCTTTCGGGTGAACGAGAATTTGTCTGAGCTTTTTATGAGGTTTGATTATTGCGTTGCTGTTGTGTCTCTGTCTCTGCTGTAACGTGGAGAGCCATAAGGAACTTGTCATTTATTTCTTGATTTGAGTTCAATTTGACAAGAGTTGCCAATGGAACAAGCAAAAATATCTTGTTTTGAAAAGATGCAAGAAAATTCTAGAAATATCTTCGTCATGATGAATAATTTCAAAAGCACTTGAAATAACACTAAACGGCTTGTTCCATTGACAAATCTTGTTTGAGTACATTTTGATTGTCTTTAAACAAGATAAATGCACTTGATTCAAACATTTATTCCATTATATTTTTTCTTTTTTTGCAGTGTGGGAGGTTGTTTGAGAGAAGGATGGCGTGTGTGTGTGTGTCCCCGTGTGTGTGTGTGTGTGTCCGTGTGTGTGTGTCCGTTCTCCTACTACACACCATATACAGTACATAACATGAGGCTGCTTTGGCCCAAAGGTCGTAGAATCCATCAGTTTTGTTGGTCACATATTCGATAAAACTGCGTGGAGCCTCAGCAACAGTAGAAAAACATACACACCTCTGTAGGAAATGCATCACCACACTTTTTTAATGGTGAATTCTGGAGAACGAGGAGATCTGGAGGTCCTTCAGGTGACGTATCTCTCCATGGTCCTGCAGCCGTTGCTTTTTTAAATACACTGTTAGTCTTTGGTCCTTTGTTGCCTGCTCCTGCTGCAGACTAATTCCATCACAAATATTCACGTTCTGCTAACCTCAAAATAACCCCAATGATTGTCCACGTCAGCTTACACAATAACACCCACAATGGCCACAAAGAAACAGCATCACTAGTTTTAAAATCCGTCAATCTGGTTTGCATAGTGATAATAATGCTCTTTTCTTCTTGTCACTTCTTGTCACATTAATGGCTCAGAAAAGAAAGTGCAGCGGAATAATACATAAAGTCTAGTTAGGAATCTTCCGCGCACATATTTTTGTTGAATTCATTCTGGATTATGAAGTTGTTTTCTTTTTGTTTTCTTAGTTTTGCCATTTTGTACTGCGTGCATTTATTGTTTGATTTGATCATCAGTATTACCTTGCTTACAGTAACAACATACATATATTCAAATTTAAATTTAGTCATTTGAGATAAGTCGATTTGGAAATATGTTTAAAGGAGCTTTACTTGTTTCTTCAGGTTTGAATGTTTAGCCCCGCCCCCAACTCGCTCACAGGCTTCTCATTTCCCCTACGCTCTCCTCCCACGGAGCATCTAGTGTTATTTGTGATCTATATGCTAACATTACATAACGGTGAACGGAGGGTCCAGTTCCAGTATAATTTGGACATATTGGCTTTAGTTTACACTGCCTTTCATTGATCAGCTAAAGTGCTTATTCAAATTTCCCACAAAGGCATGTGTTGTTTTGTCTCCAATGTTTGCACCTGCGCTATCTTTGTCCTTCACATTCCACCACACACCGGCTACATTGGCTACTCAAGGCCGACACTGGACTCTAACTCAGACTCACAACCCAGAAAACACCAGGTACAGTCCCCCCCCCCCCCTTCTACATGTCTGCCTCTCTCTCTTTTCAGTATATGATGGTCTTCCCCTCCACCTCCCCCACCCACACTCTCCTCTGACGCGCTGTATTGGACGAGGCGGGCCAGAGTGATGACTTCCCATTAAAAAGATCTGCATGTTTTCCACATGTACCGTGTCTCTCCCATGTTTGTTGAAATATGTGTCTGTTTTGCTCTGTGCTGTTGAATAACTGTCATAAGGAGCGCAGAAAATTAGAGTACGCGGCCGGCCTTGATGTTTATTCATCGAACTGAATTTCTCCATCTGTGTGAGATAATAAAGGATTGATTGATTGAACATTAGCATTAGCAAAACTTAAGCTGTACAACAATCACTGATGAAATGGTACAAAAGCAACGCACTGCTAACACAATATATAACTGAAAGATTACTGCTGGTTTCACGTCCAAATGTAGTCCGGGCGTAGATAGTCCGAGCGTAGATAGTCCGAGCGTAGATGGTCCGAGCGTAGATGGTCCGAGCGCAGATGGTCCGAGCGCAGATGGTCCGAGCGCAGATGGTCCGAGCGCAGATGGTCCGAGCGCAGATGGTCCGAACGCAGATGGTCCGAGCGTAGATGGTCCGAGCGTAGATGGTCCGAGCGTAGATGGTCCGAGCGTAGACGGTCCGAGCGTAGACGGTCCGAGCGTAGACGGTCCGAGCGTAGACGGTCCGAGCGTAGATGGTCCGAGCGTAGATGGTCCGAGCGTAGATGGTATGAGCGTAGATAGTCCGAGCGTAGATAGTCCGAGCGTAGATGGTCCGAGCGTAGATGGTCCGAGCGTAGATGGTCCGAGCGTAGATGGTCCGAGCGTAGATGGTATTAGCGTAGATAGTCCGAGCGTAGATAGCTCGAGCGTAGATAGCTCGAGCGTAGATAGCTCGAGCGTAGACAGCCCGAGCGTAGATAGTCCGAGCGTAGATAGTCCGAGCGTAGATAGTCCGAGCGTAGATAGCTCGAGCGTAGATAGTCCGAGCGTAGATAGCTCGAGCGTAGATAGCCCGAGCGTGGATGGTATGAGCGTAGATGGTCCGAGCGTAGATGGTCCGAGCGTAGATGGTCCGAGCGTAGATGGTCCGAGCGTAGATGGTATGAGCGTAGATGGTCCGAGCGTAGATGGTCCGAGCGTAGATGGTATGAGCGTAGATAGTCCGAGCGTAGATAGTCCGAGCGTAGATAGTCCGAGCGTAGATAGTCCGAGCGTAGATAGTCCGAGCATAGATGGTCCGAGCGTAGATGGTCCGAGCGTAGATGGTCCGAGCGTAGATGGTCCGAGCGAAGATGGTCCGAGCGTAGATGGTATTAGCGTAGATAGTCCGAGCGTAGATAGTCCGAGCGTAGATAGCTCGAGCGTAGCTAGCTCGAGCGTAGATAGCTCGAGCGTAGACAGCCCGAGCGTAGATAGTCCGAGCGTAGATAGTCCGAGCGTAGATAGTCCTAGCGTAGATAGTCCGAGCGTAGATAGTCCGAGCGTAGATAGTCTGAGCGTAGATAGTCCGAATGTAGATAGTCCGAGCGTAGACAGTCCGAGCGTAGATAGTCCGAGCGTAGATAGTCCGAGCGTAGATAGTCTGAGCGTAGATAGCTCGAGCGTAGATAGCTCGAGCGTAGATAGCTCGAGCGTAGATAGCTCGAGCGTAGATAGCTCGAGCGTAGACAGCCCGAGCGTAGATAGTCCTAGCGTAGATAGTCCGAGCGTAGATAGTCCGAGCGTAGATAGTCTGAGCGTAGATAGTCCGAATGTAGACAGTCCGAGCGTAGATAGTCCGAGCGTAGATAGTCCGAGCGTAGATAGTCCGAATGTAGACAGTCCGAGCGTAGATAGTCCGAGCGTAGATAGTCCGAGCGTAGATGGTCCGAGCGTAGATGGTCCGAGCGTAGATAGTCCGAGCGTAGATAGTCTGAGCGTAGATAGTCCGAATGTAGATAGTCCGAGCGTAGACAGTCCGAGCGTAGATAGTCCGAGCGTAGATGGTCCGAGCGTAGATGGTCCGAGCGTAGATGGTCCTAGCGTAGATAGTCCGAGCGTAGATGGTCCGAGCGTAGATAGTCTGAGCGTAGATAGTCCGAATGTAGATAGTCCGAGCGTAGACAGTCCGAGCGTAGATAGTCCGAGCGTAGATAGTCCGAGCGTAGATAGTCTGAGCGTAGATAGTCCGAATGTAGACAGTCCGAGCGTAGATAGTCCGAGCGTAGATAGTCCGAGCGTAGATAGTCCGAATGTAGACAGTCCGAGCGTAGATAGTCCGAGCGTAGATGGTCCGAGCGTAGATGGTCCGAGCGTAGATGGTCCGAGCGTAGATAGTCCGAGCGTAGATAGTCCGAGCGTAGATAGTCCGAGCGTAGATAGTCCGAGCGTAGATAGTCCGAGCGTAGATAGTCCGAGCGTAGATAGTCCGAGCGTAGATAGTCCGAGCGTAGATAGTCCGAGCGTAGATAGTCCGAGCGTAGATAGTCCGAGCGTAGATAGTCTGAGCGTAGATGGTCCGAGCGTAGATAGTCTGAGCGTAGATGGTCCGAATGTAGATAGTCCGAGCGTAGATAGTCCGAGCGTAGATAGTCCGAGCGTAGATAGTCCGAATGTAGACAGTCCGAGCGTAGATAGTCCGAGCGTAGATA